GTACTTGGAAGTTAATTCACCACCCAAGGTAAGTTCTTAAGGGTCCTTCCACCACCCAAGGTAAGTTCTAATGGTGATTCTAAGTTAATTCAATTTTTCAACATCTTATTAACATGGGTAAATCCTCCAAATCATTAGATATTTGATTGGGGCATCATTGTTGAGAGAAGGAACCCTAGAACTCGAATTCAAGAAGGTTGAACGTTAAGAAGGTAATGTCTTCACCCTCTAATTGATTCTAGTATTGGTTTAATGATTTTAAACCCTAATTCATGAGATATGAGTTGATGGGTTTGATAGAAAAGCATGACCAATTATAGGTTTGGCTTGTTGATTGTGGATTATTGGTTAAAGGTGTTGTTTATCTTATGGGTGAAGAAGAATGATATTTATTATAACCGTTTGAGACTTTAGAATTTATCTAGGAGCAAGAGAATGGGTTATTGGGTGTAGAGACACCATTAATAATGTCTATGAAGCTTTATGCCACCGAGTGTTTGATAAAATGCCTAAGTGACCAAAACATGACTATTGTTGCTAATTTGAAATCCCTTTGACTTGTATTGATATAGATTGAAGTTGAAACAGTTGGCAAATGTTGTATTATGCTCAAGAGCAGGAAGTTAAGGTATTTGAGGCTAACTCTCTATGTTTGGGAATGTTAATGATTCTCCCTACATTACGTTTCTTTTACGACGTATCAATTGCCTCAGAAATATAGCTAAGCCTAGTTCCTTGAATAGTTGTAGAACTTCTATTCTCTAGCTTCGTAACTCGTTCATGACTTTCATTCTGAACGTTGTGAGCTCAGTTCGTATTCAATATAGACTTGGGTTTGGTGTCCCTAAGTCTCAGTATAGCTTACTCAGCACGTCATAAACAGTTGAAGTTTCAGTATTCATAACCAGTTCAAGAATACATGTCTCATTCTAGTCCTATTCAGTATTTCTGTATTATATCACTCAGTAGGATTCAGTATTCCAGTATTATGTAACTCAGTATGATTCAGTATTCCAGTATAATGTAACTCAGTGTGATCCAGTATTCCAGTATCATGTAACTCAGTGTGATTCAGTATTTCATTATCATGTATTGCAGTTTGATTCTCAGTTCCTGAATGTTGAAGACCTGTATTTGGGCCCGAGGCCGCAATTTATGCTTTATGCATCTTTGGGCCTGAGGCCGCAGCTTGTGCACATATACATACATATATATATTGGGCCTGAGGCCGCAGTTTAATTTTCAGATAAACAGGTTGTTCATCATTCAGAAGAGGGAGTATTCATATCCTTACTTCCTTTCAGTTCAATTATTAGTTACCATTCAATTATCAGTTCAGTTATCAGTTATCAGTAATCAATTATCAGTAATCAATTATCAGTTATCATTTCAGTTTCAGTTTGAATAGTTATCATTTCAGTTATCAATTCTAAATTCTCAGTTATCAGCTTAGTTCAGTTTCAGCATTTATAATTCTTTCCTTCAGTTGCTTTACATATCAGTACAATTCAAATGTACTGACGTCCCTTTTGCCCGGGGCCTGCATCTCACAATGCAGGTAATGATTTACAGGTTGATGATTCCGAGTGCTAGGATTCTCGTACCAGCTATTTGGTGATCCCAATTCTTTCAAGGCATTATCATTACCTTACAGTCTTCAGTATTTTCAGACAGTCAATGTTTTCAGTATTTCATTAGAGGCTTCTTAGACTAGAGTAACAGTTAGACAGAGTCACAGGCTTTTCATTTTAAGCTATGTTGGCTACAAATATGTTTCAGAATTGTATTAGCATTTCCGCACTTTGATTTATATCATCCAGACTTTCAGTATATCGGCATGTGTTAGTTTATCTTCTGCATTCAGTATGTTATGATACCACATGTTGATTCAGCCAGCCAGTTGGTTCGCTCGGTCACATGTAGTCAGGCACCAAGTGCCGTATTACGTCCAGGCCCAGGTTCGGGGCGTGACATTGATTTACCTAGTACTGGGGTGAGGTGCCATCACGTCTAGGTGGATTTTCGATCGTGACAATCTCTGAGATGGATTTATCACTACCCATGGAGGATTTGAGCTCCGAAATGATCTAGTAAAATCTTTGATTGTCAAGTTATGTGTAATGAATCGTAAAAATAAGTACGTATTATTACATTAATATGTAATAAAAAATATAAGTCATTTAAACTATTAGTATTCTTGACCTAATTGCCCATTATGATTTATAAATTAAAAAAACCAGACTTCAATCTAACTATTTGAGTTTGAAATTAAGGACTATCCGTTCATAATAAATAATCCAATAATCTTAAAAATATTTGATGGTACATTGGTTTTAAGCTATTTCATCTCTTGAATATAGTTTTTTTTTAAAGTGGTAATTTGTATCAAAAAGATTCAAATTATTGTGGAAAGCAATTGACATTAAAACAACGAGTAAAAATTAGAAAAATAAATAAATTTATAGCTACATAAGTATGAATCAAAAAAATACAAAAAAAAAAAAAAAGAAGAAGAAGAAGAAGAAGATTTTAAACTAATAATCACACTTAGCTCAATCACATTACTCTTTATTTCTAATGTTTGCTGAATAATTTTATCATGATTTAGACATAACCAAACAAAGAAGAGTTGAATGAATAAATTTTAGAGCAAATAAAACCGATTATTTCATATTCACCAATCCCAAGCAAAAGATAAGAAATTTTATAGGAACAAGTAAGTAATTTAAAAGGTACAAGAAAGATATTTGCGTTACTTTAATTTAGTCTAGGGTTGATTTATTATTGTTATTCTCATTTTCTTTAATCAATTGATCCTTTTATGAGTTTTTCTTTTTCAATTTGGCCTAATCAGGCAACCCATCTGAGGAGAACAATTAAATTCAGAGGGAAGTGCACAGTTAGCCACTAATTAGAGATGTCTTTACTTTTTAGCCATTGTTTAAAATGTATTTACTTTTTAGCCAGTGCTTAATAAAAATTTATCCGTCCGGACGAAAATAATCCTGTGCTAGACATGGGTACTATGTAAATATTAAGGACATGGTGTCCTTAATTTCATGAATACTGTGTAAATATTAAGGACAAAGTGTCATATATTTGCACCTTCCGTTGTTAAACTTTAGGACATCATGTCCTTAAGTTCATATATGCAGTGTAAATGTTAAGGACACGACGTCCTTAACTTCATGTGTGTAGTGTAAATGTTAAGGACATAATGTTCTTAACTTGTATTTGCACCTTCTGTTGTTAAACCTTAGGACCTCATGTCCTTAACTTCATATGTATAGTGTAAATGTCAAGGACATGGTGGCCTTAACTTCATGTGTGCAGTGTAAATGTTAAGGACATAGTGTACTTAACTTTATGCGTGTTGTGTAAATATGAAGAACACGGTGTCCCTAACTTCATGAATGTTGTGTAAATATTAAGGACAATGTGTCATGTATTTGCACCCTCCGTTGTTAAACTTTAGGACATCATGTCCTTAACTTCATATATGCAGTGTAAATGTTAAGGACATGGCGTCCTTAACTTCATGTGTGCAGTGTAAATGCTAAGGACACCATGTCCTTAATATTTACATAACTCTCATGAAGATAGGGTAAAAACATCTTTTCGTATTAATTTTAATAGAGTAGTGGCTATTTTTGCTCAGTATTAAAAATACTGGATAAAAACCAAATACCATATTAAATAGTGGCTAACCCCCGCCATTTCTACCCAAATTCTAACTGAATTAGCTTTGAATGGGCTGAAAATATTCTTAGCCAACTCCATACAAGTAGAGGGTTGGTTGAGTTGGCTTCACATGCTAAGTCCATTTTGACGACTCTATTTTTAAGCTACTCATGAATCTTTTCTCGATCGAGGTGTCAAATTCAACCCATACAAGTGCAATCCATTTGGACAAATTAGGTTGCTGAGATTACGCTGAATGGACCTTTTTAGGATTACCATTTAAATTTTGACCCGATAAGAAAAATCTTGGAAAAATAGCCTTCGGCCAGAATTTTGAAAGCGCTCTTGGCAATCGTCTGAATTTTCCTTAATAGATAGTTATGATGATCGTTAGGATTTTTAGCCATAATATTGAAAAATTCTTAATGATCTATTAGATTTTGTGGCAAATCCTAGTGATCATCGTACGAAAAATTCTAGCGACTACTTGGAACGCTTTTCAAAATTTTGACTAAAGGCTATTTTTTTGAGTTTTTTTTAACAGAGTCAAAATTTAAATAGCACCACCGAATTAAGTTGAGAATAGAAGCCCAAAATGAACTAATTATCGTAAAATTTTCGTGTGGTGCCCAATTTTATGCTACCCACTGGTTTTGTGTCCACTTTTAAAAAAAAGTTTAACTGATACTCAATTTTGAAATAACTTCAGATACATACACTTTTCTCTTCATCTTTATCGTTGTTTTCTTTTTCTTTGTGCTTAGAATTTCTTCTTGTTCTTCTTCTTCTTAGTTGGAAAATGGGTTTGTTAAATTTATTGTTGTTTTGATCATTTGATGATTGGGATTTGTTCTTTATGATACTTGAAAGTTATGTTTCAACTTTGAGCTAGATTTTGGGCGTTGAATCTTGCATTGGATTGTTGAAATTCGAAGAACAAGTTTACGTTTTAGAACTTAAGATTCGAAATCTGAAGTTGCATTCAATAGATTGAACTACTTAAGATTTGAATTTCTGAAGTTGCATTTGAAAGATAGAAGAACTTCAGATTTGATTTCTGAAGTTGCATTTAAGAGATTGAACTACTTTAGATTCGAATTTCTAAAGTTGCATTTGAAAGATAGAATAACGTAAGATTTGATTTCTAAGGTTGCATTGAAGACATTGAACTACTTTAGATCCGAACGGGTACACTTTGCAAAATTTTGTGCAATATCTGTATAACTTTAGTGGTGGTCCCAAAAGTGGGTATATATAAAAATATCCCCGGTTATTTTATTAACTTTAGACGGGTTGGTTCATGATCTAAAGAGTGACACAACTTATTTTAACCCCTTCTAATTTGATCAAACCACCTTATTGATATCCCTACCCTCACTTCCTAAAAGGAAGAGTTGTAGAATTTTGCTCAAAAACAAAAACTAAAAAAAGAAAGAAAAAAAAGAGAGACGGTTTTCTTCAAGGCAACAAGCGTCAACAGAAGCAGCAACCTTAAAGGTATGTATTACACACATTTGCTATAATATTACAAACGGGTCGCCGATGAACACCTCAGTTATCTAGGGTTAGGGTTATCCTTTTTCCGGGGGAATTTCTGCTCCGGCGCGTGTCAATTTTGATGTTGATGTACGAATAACTTCCGCGCGTGGGGTTTTAGTTTTGGATTCCTGACGATCGCTCTGGTCATTGAATATGTAATAAGCTGATTTGATAATGCAGTAAATGAATAAATTAAAGTTAATTAATCCGGATAATTCTACCGAGCTGAGCTAAAATGGAATTCGCAAGTCTCTAGTATTCAACTGCGTCAGTATATGTGATAGCACCAGTTGTTGATAGCCTAGATCTATCCATGATGCGATTCAAAATTTGAATATGCTATGTGTTTACTGAATTTATGAACCGAGTATATAATCATTTGTACCTGTTGCATTACTCTTTTTATTTATTTATTTATTTATGACGGTGGTGTCTGGGTTAGCTTTAGCCTCTGCTGGATTTGAAACTGAGAACTCATGATTCTCCTCCCACTTCATTGACCTCGTGTTGCATTACTTTCAATTTCAGGGTTGAAATCGGGAAAGACAGTAAATAGTGGAGCTGAAATGGATCCGTTGGAGGGTGTGAAGGAGGGAGGAAGTATGGAAGAAGTAGCTTTGTGTAACTCGCAAGGAAAATTGATATTTGGGAGGTACTCTGATGCAGAAATGTTAGCTCAGCTGAAAAAACTTGCTCTAGATCCTTGTGATTCAAATGTATCACGTCAGGGAATTCGACCATTATGGAATCAGATGCTAAGAGTGCGAGATGTTATGGCTCTTGCTGATAATGACTGTTCGTGGGTATGCTCATTTATGAAGTTTCTTTAAATATTAACCTCTATAATAGTAGCGCTTATCTTCTTATCTTCGTGGCGTTGGTTACAGTCTTGCAGATGTGCATCTTTTTTCACCTCTAGGTACTCCTTTTCCGCGGAAGAGGCTAAACTAAACATCAATGAACTGTACTGGAGTAATGGAGGGAAATAGTTTAAAACACAAAAATGCAGGAATTAGTATGACTGCAGCTGAAATATATGGAAATTACTTTAGTCGGTGACTTTCTTTTAAGTACTATTTGTTATTTATAATAAAAAGATAATAATGTAGTCCAATTAAATTGCTAAACAAAGTTAAATTGTGAACGTCGAATATTTACCAAATTGATATCAAATACAAGTTGGATTAAAGTACATATAGATCATTTTTGAAGTAGATTTTAAAGTAGATTCAGATTAGATGGGATCCCATCTTGATTTCAGTGTCTCCAAACAACCCTCAAACTTGGAGTCTTGTTAAGTACAACAACAACAACAATCCAGTGTAATCCCACAAGGGAAGAGTAGGATGTATGCAGCCTTACCCCTATCCTAGAAGGGCAGAGAGACTGTTTCCGATAGATCCTCGGCTAAAGAAAAGATGGAAGAAGCACTGATAGCAAGTAATATCAATACAAGGTATTTAGAATCATTATCACAAAAAAAATACAAGGTATTTAGAAAATAAAACCTAAGATAGCAAAAGAGAGTATGAAAGAAGTACTAATAGTCAATAATAACAGTACAAGAGATGAAATGATAGCCAACTAAGGGCATACGGAAGGTAAGTAACAACAGTACAAGATATGTGGTAATAGCAAGCTAAGGATAAAAGGGATACCAAACTACCACTAATACTATTGAACTAAGGAAGACATAGGGAAACGCTCGACTACCTACTAACCTTCTACCCTAGTTCTCAATCTCCACACCTTCCTATCAAGGGTCATGTCCTCGGTTAGCTCCAGCTGTGCCATGTCCCGCCTGATGACCTCTCCCCAAGACTTCTTTGGCCTACCTCTACCCTTCCTCTTACCCCCACAAGGCCAACATCTCACACCTCCTGACTGGGGCATGGTATCTACCACTAATACTATTGAACTAAGGAAGACATAGGGAAACGCTCGACTACCTACTAACCTTCTACCCTAATTCTCAATCTCCACACCTTCTTATCAAGGGTCATGTTCTCGGTTAGCTCCAGCTGTGCCATGTCCCGCCTGATCACCTCTCCCCAAGACTTCTTTGGCCTACCTCTACCCTTCCTCTTACCCCCACAAGGCCAACCTCTCACCTCCTGACTGGGGCATCTGTGCTTCTCCTTTTAACATGCCCGAACCATCTTAGCCTCGCCTCTCACATCTTTTCCTCCATAGGGGCCACTCCCACCTAGTCCTGAATAACTTCGTTCCTAATTCTATCTAACCTAGTATGTCCTCACATCCATCTCAACATCCTTATTCAATTACTTTCATCTGCTGGACATGAGAGTTCTTGACTGGCCAGCACTCTGCCCTATACAACATAGTCGGTCTAACCACTACCTTGTAAAACTTACCTTTAAGTCTAAAAGGCACATTCTTATCACACAAGACACCGGAAGCGAGCCTCCACTTTATCCATCCTGTTCCGATACGATGTGTAACATCCTCATCAATCTCCCCATCATATTGAATTATAGACCCAAGGTACTTGAAATTCTCTCTCCTGGGAATGACTTGTGTATCAAGCCTCACATCCCTGCCCGCTTCCTGGGTAACACCGCTGAACTTGCACCTCAAAGTATTCTGTCTTGATCCTGCTCAACTTGAAATCTTTAGATTCAGGGGTATGTCTCCAGACCTCCAGCCTCTCGTTAACACCACCTCGCGTCTCGTCAATCAGAACTATGTCATCTACAAATAACATGCACCAAGGCACCTCCCTTTGAATGTGTCGCGTCAATGCGTCCATTGCTAAGGAAAACAAAAACAGGCTAAGCGCTGACCCCTGATGCAACCCATCTCAACCGGAAAGTATTTAGAGTCTCCTCCTGCTGCCCTTACCCGTGTCTTTGCTCCATCATGCATGTCCTGGATCACTCTAATATACGCTATAGGCACTTCTTTAGCCTCCAAGCATCTCTATAGAACCTCTCTTGGGACTTTGTCATAAGCTTTCTCTAGGTCAATGAACGCCATATGCAGGTCCTTCTTCATCGCCCTATACTGCTCCACCAATCTCCTCGCAAGGTGAATGGCTTCAGTAGTCGACCGTCCCGGCATGAAACCAAACCGGTTCTCAGAAATGGACACACTACTCCTCATCCTCCCTTCTATCACCATCTCCCAAACTTTCATCCTGTGGGTTAACAACTTGGTACCCCTATAGTTGTTGCAGTTTTGGATATCCCCCTTGTTCTTGTACAACGGAATCATCGTACTCCACCTCCACTCTTCATGCATCTTCTTCGTCCTAAAAATGACGTTAAACAACCTAGAGAAACAAATATATACTAAGTGGAGTCACATAAAATTGGAGGGACACTATTATTTTTGGGCTAAAGAAACAAATATATATTACATTACAACCCTCTGACATACTTTATGTTTTGAGTGTGTTTGTCCGCATGCATCATTGCTTCTGATCTGTGTCAATTCTTCCTATGTAAGTATGTTTAATTTCTAATTTAGCCTTGTATGATTGGGAGTGTTTTGTGGCCAAAAAGGGATTTGTTGGTTAGCCGTCCCAACTTTTTTGGGACTGAAGTGTAGTAGTTGTTGTACTGATTTGTTGGTTAGCTGGGCATATTGATGAAAACACTTCATGCACTATCTAGTACCATGAGTTTCACGTCCATCTGCCTGTTTCTGTAGAATAGTGCATGTCCAATGATGATAAATCATAAATGACCAAAAGCAAAGAGACTTGATCTGTTATTTTGACATTTCATCGTTTCCTGTCAATTATGTAGGTAATTGTACAGCTATGAAGCATGTATTTTTCACTGATTTATTCCTTTCATTTGCCTGCTAAAAGGAAGGCCTGTAGATAATAACCATAGATCTTATCAACTTCCATAGGATGCGATCATGTGAAGAATTGAAAGTCAAAAACAAACTAAGATACAATTTTGTAAATGCTCATAGATTCTGTATTAAATAAAAGGTACAAGTAATCCAATTGATGGATAAAGCTGCAAGCATGCCTTCCCCCCTGCACTTATGACAGTTTGTTTCTTCCTTGTATAGATAGATGCACATCTGCATCTGTAGATTTGATAAGTTTGTCAAAACTAATGTATGAGGCTAATACTAATTCTCTTTGGCCGTGGAAGTAGTTTGGTTTAGACTTGTACTCCAAATCATTATGCCTCATTGAGAGGCATTTAGTGAATCATTTACTCTGGGTTTTGTATACATTTCCTTGTGAATGAACGAATTATAATTGGATGAGCAAGCACATTTTCCAAAGCGATTGCTGATGAATTTTGAAACAATTGTATGCAAATGCACATGTACCTCCTTCAGCTCCCAAACATCGATCCACCTTCCTTTCCCTCAGAGGCATATTTCGTGAATATTTGGGGTTTAACTGATACTTCTGAAGGTCAGGAGCCATTAGCAGTAATCTGAAGTTTGTCACCAGTGCTTGGACAGAATGGATAAGAGGGAAAGGCTGCACACATGTAAATAAATAGGAAATAGAGATTACTTGAGGGTACCGCCGCTTTTTACCCTGCCATGTCTTTGCAGTATAGCTAAACAGCAAGATCAATTTGTGTTCTTGATGTATTATATCATGAGTGAGATTGACTATCCATGTTCTTGTGGTTCTCTTGAATTAGCGTCTGAAAATTAGTTTCGGAAATTTTCATCCTTCAGGACATCACCCTGATTTAGTTGAAAAAGTTATGTTCTCATAAGTTCCTGAACAACATCAAATGGTTCTTTTCCCCTCCCATTTTGCTGTAATTATGCCATACTGTTAATAACATATTTTCTTATTCGTTTGACAGAAGAAAAGAAAACTTCAACAGTTTGTGAAAGGTCAGTTGAGATCTGCTTCTGGACTTCCAGCAGAGAAATTTAACCAGAAAAGTAAATCAAAAGTACGTAGAGGACAAGGGCATTTTTCTCATGCCTCCGGTATTTCCTGCTTGCTTAATTCAGTTAACTCTGCAAAAAGTTCTCCCCAAAAAAATTTATCAAGTTCGCACAGTGCATGTAGTTTACTGGCATTCGAGGACAATTTTCAAGAGCAGTTATCTTCAGAATTCTCCCTCCAGAATGATGCAAAAGATTTTGGTCCTACCAGCAAGGATTTGTCTTCCTTAGTTGATTCCGATGAGTCAGTAAATGGTTCAGACCTGATGAGTCGTGATAATCGGACCCCTTCCGTTGCCTCCTTGCTGACCTTGGATGATGCAATTCATAATTCAAGCTTGTTGTCTGTGAAAGGATCAAGAAGCAGATCTCTACAACCGCCTCGTCAATCCTTCAGGTTGCTGAACTTCATTGGCGACCGACTTCAGAGATTTGTTATTCCAGTGGGGCCTCGTTTCCAAGCTGAAGTTCCAGACTGGATGGAACCAGCAGACAAGGATGACATTAATAGTAAAGCCATGGACTCTGAAGATTCAAGATGGTTAGGCACCCTAGTTTGGCCTATTGAAATCGGGAATATGGAAGTGTCTTCTAGACCAATTGGAAGAGGGAGACCTCACTCCTGCTCTTGTCGGTCTCCAGGAACCACTAACTGTGTCAATCGCCACATTCTTGAGGAAAGGCTAATTCTGCAATGTGACCTTGGCCCTGCTTTCTTCAGTTGGAAATTTGATGAAATGGGAGAGCAAGTTTCGAAGGCATGGTCATCCAAGGAAAAAGCGGCCTTTGAGTCATTGGTCAAAAGGAAACCACAACCAAGTGGAAAGAACTTTCTGAAGCATGCAGTAAAGTCCTTACCACAAAAGACTAGGAAAACCATCGTCAACTATTACTTCAATGTTTTCATCCCCCGACAATTGAGCGTACAGAATAGGTCATCCAATAACTTAGTCAATATTAGTGATGATTTTGCTGATGACATTAATGATACAGGCATGCATAAAGGAAGTGAAGGCCAGAGACCTGAGGGTTTGAAAAGTCGATACCTATGTCGGCCAATTTAGTCCCTGGAAGTAGATTATCTAACAGGTTATTTCCTCCTTTCAGGATGTTTGATAGGAGTGAACCTTTCGATACAAGTATGATATCTTAACCATGTTAATATCGGTTCAGTGAAGATCATTTGTTCAGCACATTTTTGGTCTATGGCGTTTGTTCTACATAGATTTGAGTAAAGAAATGTCTATTTAGTATTAATCCATGGTACTTGTTCTAGCATGAAGTGTTCTGTGACTATTGGGTTCAATTTCTTCAACTTAGACGATCTACTCCAGCAGTAAACATTGAATGGGAATTTACTGTACTTCCGTTTAAGAATTGGGTTTTTAATTATTTTTTGTTTGCCCTTCTCATCACCCGTATCACTATTACTAGTATTGCGATTCTTTTCTTCGCACTTTCTAATTCTGTACTTTTTTTGTTATTACTGTTCCAAGGGAAAAGTTTGAGCTGATGTGTCAATAAGGACACCCATGTGCATTTCCTTTTGTTATGTACTCGCTATGCTCTTATGCCTTTGGTTGAAGTATATGTCGATTCAATCTATCTTGATGGAGTTTTTCTAGTAGGTAGCGAGTAGACTATTAGAGGCAGAACAACTACTCGTTTTTTACCTCCTTTTCAACTTGGTTATAGTGTATAATATGACCTCATTTGTCAACTTGGTTATAGTGTATAATATTTGCAAAGAAGAAACAAGGAACAAAAGATATTAGGGTCAGAATACCGACGAACGGATGGGGAATCAAACTCTAGTATTCATATCAATAATACTCTTGAGAGTCGATTTGTTTAAAGTGTAAGAAAGAAGAAAAAATCCCTATACAAAATTTCGCATGACTAATGTAGTTTTTTTTTCTTTATCTTTTAGAATGATTAGGCATAACTAATATAGGTTTGCTTTGCAACAAGTACTAATTCAACCAACGTATGTATTGTTTTGTGTTAGATAAAATGTAGAGTAAGAATACACGTACAGTCAGACATCTCTATAACAAACACCCCTATATAACAATCATTCACAATAAAAAGCCATATTTTTCTCGGAACCGATTTTTATGTTATTTTATAATATATATCCTCCATAACATCACTTCACTATTGCAGCCAAAAAATATTGGAACAAATGAGGTTATAAGAGGTTTGACTGTTTTAACAAAACTTGTTAGAATATTTTTAAAAAAAAATGTCTCTAAAGTAGGCAATCTTTGCATAACAATTCTTCACCGCAATCCGCATAACGATCTTTAATTGCCAATCATGTGTTCTCGTTCAAATTCATCATTTCGAGAAATTCCACGCGTAACTGAACAAAGGTCCATAACCTGGAGCACTTAATACAGTTGGGAATATAATTCTTCCGTAACTTCTCAACTTAGCACTAGAATTTCTTTTAAACGCAAAGACAAAACTGAGCTCAAAGAAACTTTCTAAAAGCTACTGCCCATCTTACTATCAGAAAACAGGATAAGAATAACTGAGGATTTAAACCTTAATATCACCATCAAACACAGAATCTGCATTAGTTCAGGCCATGCAAGTCCGAACAGGGTACACCATCTTAGCAAGTGAAATAGAATCAGAAAAATTTCAAGGGGTACTTTTAAACACAAATTATATAGATGACCTTTCAACATGGTTATAGGACTGAAAAAGAGAATGCAAAAGAGAGAGTTGAACCATGCCCAAATTTGGGAATCACTCTAGGTATCTGCTGCAGGTTGAGTCAATCCAGACTGTACAAGCAAGTTGTTCAGGGATTCCGGCGAGTGCACCTGGTATTTGACTTTACCATTGAAAAGGGACACCTCTGCTAGCTCAAGTTTCTCCGAAGTAAGACTTGTACTATCCATTGTCTTACTGAGCACCTTCAGAACAAGTTGAACCGCTTCCTCTCTTGTGATCTCATCCTTGTAGTCCTGCTTCAACATCGACTGTGCTGCTTGATTGTTAGCACCGATGGCTGCTGCCTTCCAACCGCCATAGTTACCACTTGGATCACTCATGTACAGTTGGAAGCCATAGTTCTTATCCCAGCCTGCAAAGAGAAATGAGACACCAAATGGACGAAGCCCACCAAACTGTGTGTAGCCTTGCTTGGTATCGCACAGAGACTGAACTAGCTGTTCGACAGGCATTGGTTCTTGATAAGCAAAAGTATACCGTTGAGCTTGTACTCTAGCTGTGTTGATGAGGATGTTGGCATCTGACATTATTCCAGCCACAGCACATGCAACATGGTCATCAATCTTATACATCTTTTCAGTGGATGTTGAAGTCTGAAGTAGCTTTGAGGTAACCTTCTTTTCACCTACCAAAACTACGCCATCTTTAGCTAAGATACCTATTGCACTCCCTGCATTGCCAATGGCTTCCATTGCATACTCAACCTGATATAAACGACCTTCTGGGGAGAAGATAGTTGTGCGGCTATCATATCTTCTAGACATTGTATATTCTGCAGCAAGTACCAACACAAGTTCAAGCAGTACTTTTTAGATCTAATGACAAATTTATAGTGTATATAAATAGAATGAGCTGTAGAAACTTCAAGAAGAATAAAGACATAAATACTGCTCAATCCAAGGTACTCAAAAGGAACTTTCCACTCAATGAATTAGAAACATAAATGTCCTCAAGTGGCAGATCCTGCAGTGACTCACATGTGAAAGAGGATGACTTTGAAACATAATATCTGGAGGCAATTTGACTGCGCATGAAGGAAAAATGACAGTAAAATAATTCAATTTCTCGGATGTATTTGCAACTCCAAACAAACATGGATATAGATGCATACGATGACTTAAATATGTCTTCCCTTTCCTCAATATTTTTTAGTTTTGTGCTCATTTGCTGCAAAGCTACCAATTATCTGTCAGCTTATGCAACCACCATATTGAGATATCATGCATCTCGCTCAAGTTAATGGAGTCATCTAGTTATTTCATCGTTCCCAATAAAGGGGTGGACATCAGTCAGTCGGTTCGGTTTTGCAAAAGTTCACTTTGGTTTTTCGTTTTTCGATTTGTCGATTTTGGTAACTGGAACCGAACAGTAGTAATTTTGGTTTGGTTTGACCTTTTTCATGTTCGGTTTGGTTTAATCAGTTTGGTTTTTAATTTTTTTCATCCCGCCATGTACACACAATTTTTCCACCACCACCACCTCAATGCTGGACACTACCGTCCATGCACCCGTAACCACCACTGGTCAGACCACCTTCAACAAAATATTCACACCAGCCACTGTCCAACTCCACTGCCACTTTCCCAAACTCTCACATCAAACCGCTGCAAAGGCTCCTTCCTCCATCAATTTGATCACCATCAGTTTCTTTCCAAAGTCATTGTACTTCTCATAAACCACCATACCTCTTCTCTGAAACCAGCCACAACCACCATTCAACAAAACTAGTGGCTCTTCTATTCTTTTTCCACTCTCACGTCTCCCTCTTTGAACCAATTCCATATGCATCACTGAAATACTCACACAGACAGTCTCAAATACTCCCTGCATATATTTCCATTACTCAAAAGCATCATCTACAATCACCAAAAACTAGGGGCGGATGTACCGTCGCAGGTACGGGTTCAATTGAAGCCATAACTTTTGACGCGGAGCATAAATTTATGTGTGAAAATTTACTAGAATTGCAATAAATAATAGACATGAACTAATAACTTTAAAATTATAATGTGTTTAATGCTAAAAACCTAAAAATTGAACCCATAGAATTTAAATCTTGGATCCACCTCTGCCAGAACCACCAGTGACATAAGCTTCCTTCTTTTAAAAACCCACGGGACATTTATCTTCAACAGAGAACCACAAAAACCACTAAGCCTCCGCCCTCTTTTTGATTAAACTTCAGTTTTTTGGTTCAACGGAAAACGGTACCCTTGAAACCGACCGTCGAACCGAAGTTATAAAAAAATTAAACGTTAACCAAAAAACCAAAAATTCAGTTCGGCCGGTTCTTTTAGTTTTTTCTGGTTATATGCCGATCCCTAGTTCCCAAGGAGTAGACAGATCGGTTACCTTGGTTTTTGCAGAAGTAGGCACATCATTGGTGTTGCAAACACACACATAGATACATCTTTCAAATGAGAACACAACTGCAGACAAACTTTTTAGATGAATATTCTTTTCCTGACAGGATAATCTCCTAACGACAGCCCATGTCGACCCCCCCCCCCCCCCCCTCTAGGTCTATCTCTAAGCACATTGGATAGAACATAGTGCCAAGCCAAAAGGTTAACAATTTTCCCTGCTTCCCAAAAGAGAAAATTCCCACCCCATTCCTCTAGCATATCTTCTCCTCCTTTTCCCTATTCTTCTCCATTTAGGCCTATAATTTTAACGAGTGTGAAATATCCCTTTTAAATTCTACTTTGCATTTAGTTGTAGTTTTTATGTTGTTATTACAAGCCAAAATGCAAATTCATAAGCAATCCAGAAAGCATCAAGGTTATAAGCCAACATGATTGAAGTGCATTGTCCAGCAATATCACCTATAACGTGTTTATCTATAGTAATTCTTTAAAAGTGAAACACAAATTTCACAAAGCGATTTCTCAAAATCAAAGAAACTTTTTTTTCATTTGGATTGAGGTGATCTTAAATGGAGCAACATTCACAATGTTGAGCTACAAATGCAGCAGGAGATGGAGCTCGAGCTAGAGCTCCAATGGGGAAAAATCTAGAAGCTTCATCTAGAGAGAAAGAAACTGAGAGAAAACATTTTTTGTATTATGTGAAAACGAATAATGTGTCAATACAATATACAAGCCTAATGTATATACATTTTTATGACTAACAACTAACAACCAATCACATTGTAGCTAAGTGACAGCTAAGCCAAGTGGGGACTCACCAACCACTGTATACTAACTAATTACAACACATAAATACATAGCTCAACACCCCCCCACAAGTTGGAGGTGAGGACTTCACGGACA